CCAAGGTATAATCGAAAACAAAAATGATGCCAGTTCTGTTTAAAAATACTTTATTAAAATACATCACACATTTTAAAATTAAATCTGCTTATCCCCTGTCCAATACAGACATATAGTGAAATAAAACCTGGGTCTCAATAATCGAAAAAGCAGGTTACTTTAATCAGACCCTCACCAAACCAAATCCCTTTAACAACCTAAGTACGTCGTCGATGTGTTCTTCGCCACGTTTATGTTCATTTTGGATCTCGTGACGTTAGGACAAGAAGTGGTTCCAGCAGCCGTTAAGTAAGACTTATTTTCAATATTAAATCAATTCCATAATGTGAGACGCTTTTTTTTAAAATTATTTTTAGTCCAACGTCCAAAAAGTTATAAAAAAAAGAATCTCATTTAGACACTGCTCATTACTGAAAATCCATTCTTCCATGATAACTTTTCTTTATAAAACAAAATGGATCTAGAATATTTAATTTTAAAAATATTTAAACTACTTAATTTAAGTATAATGGCTAGAACTTTCATCTAGAAAAATGTACACCATTTCAATTTCTTAAATAGTTATTTAAATATTTTGAATTATACTTCTCCAATGTGTTCTACCCCTAAACTCACAGAAGTCCAATAAGACACTCATTCCTAAATAAACTATATATATATATATATATATATATATATATATATATATATATATATACATATATATATAAGCAAAGTGTGGGATATTTTGCTTTGTTTTGTTTTTTTGTTTCTTACACCTATTTCATTGGGTGACTAGCAAGTTGCAGGGAAATTATTCTTTGATGATGACTACCTTTTTATGGGAAAATTATTCATCACGATATTTTAATTTAAGGTGAACGAAAACTAACATAGGCTGAACGCGGCCTAATATAGACTATATATTTTGAGCTTGAACTAGATCGACCACTTTCAGTTGCGAAAAATGTAGGTATAATTTGCTAATGAGATAGCACTGGTGTAATAGGTAACTGGAAAACTTTTAGATATATATAAATTTTATTTTAAGAGGTTTTGAACTGCACAAAAAAAAATATGCAAAGAAAACATTTGGATAAAAAAAAATTCATCTAAAATGTATACAAATTATATATTTTAATATGGGGTTGTTGCTAAGTAGGAGAGGAAAAGTAAGAAACAAGAGTTTTTCTGTATAATCGTTTGACTTTAATAGTATATTTGTGTAACAGAAAGTACGGAATGACAGGAGATATGTAGAGTGCGTTTTCAGAATCAAGTGCTATTGCTGGTTTGCAAATGCTCTTTAATTTCGCTTAAAATATTTTTTAAACAAACATATATGTACGTCAACATTTAAGTATTGGCACCTGACTATAAATAAATGGGGCAACGGCTAGCCGATAAACAGGAAGTATAAACATTTGACAAAGATAGTCAGCAGTTCTTAACAAAATATGATAATACTTTCTTAACTCTAATATTGTCAAACAACGAAGAAAAAAAGAAAAAAGGAATTCGTATTTAAAAAAAAATAATTGAAATCTTTTCTTTTTTAAGTTCAAATATTTGTTATCTCCTTGGTTTTATACTCTTTTATTTTAACTATACACTTTTTTATTATGTCACGCAATTTTTCAGAAACTCTAAGTTCTCATAATAAGATACATTGAATGTCTTTACACCCAGAAATTCATCCCTCGTGTCGTTCATCAACTTTTCCTCCAAACAACCAACAGATAGGAAATCTTCCCACAGGTAGAATTTGTTGGCGAAAAGTTCTTTTGTATCGAAAAGCATTGGTACATCTCCTGCAAATCAAAAGATGTTTCATATTCACCATGCAGTTTTCAATTAATTCTACCATCATTTTAATAATAATTATTAATGCACAAAAGGTTAAGCTTCATGCTAATATAAAACATGACTGCTACAGGTAAACACATTGTAATTGAATTGTATTTCAACAAACTTATACAAAACCCTCGTTCAGGTTGAATTTGTGTACAAAATATTTCTTAGTGTCATTAAGAAAAACTAAAAGAAATGTAACTACGAAATTTTACATAGGTGACTAAGTGGGATGGGAAATGGCATTTTAAACAGGATGGGAAGTACACCTGTTGATTTTATACAATGATATGTATCATATATATATATATATATATATATATATATATATATATATATATATATATATTACCTGTGGAAAGTATACAAATTTCTCTAACTGTACGTCCAGCACAAGGGATTCCACCCCAGTTTTTAAACCTAGCAAGGTAAGGTTTAATCAGGCGATGAATGTCAGGATCACCTGAATGGATACAATTTTAATCGATTAATAACATGCATTGCTAATAGTAATGTCAATGTTCTACTATAAAATCAAATTACAACTATACATCAAAAATCTCAATCCTCTATGCGTAGTACACTATAATTTAATTGGCATATGTATTTTAAAATATAAACAGAAAATAATTACAATTAGTAATAGAAACACGTGCAACGAATTTATTTTGTTCGATTCACCTTTGTAACTACCGCGTATCCCAAGATGTGGATTGTAGTTTAATGTAGCGAAAAACGTTTCATCGGGAACTACCGTTTCTTTGACCCACTCGAGTAGATCTTTGGCTGTGTTGTTGTGTAGGATGTAGTCAACGAAATCTCTGGAGATCGATATAGACAAATCAATATAAAACATACGATTGAGAAAATTTGTAATGTAGGATGAAGTCTTTATAACATCCGAGGACCGATGACATAGGCATATCAATATAAAACATGTAATAGATTAAATATTGGATGTAGTAAGGGAAACAATGAAAAACTTATTTAACAATTTTTCAATTAATGCTTGGACTCCTAATACAGTTTTTTTTCCATTAAATACATTATATATACAAACGTTATTAGAAATTCACACTAATCTGTTTAACCCCAAGCGTTTAATAACACAATCAACAATTTAAAAACCATTCAATTTTGTTTTAAAAATACTGTGTTAGTGTCACTCTCTAGCAGTGACGTTACTTATGATTTATAATTTTGTATTATAATCAAGATCTAAACAAAACACATTTTAAATAAACTATACTAAACCACAACCTGTTGACGACAACATGAACTGATCCTTTCACTGGTCTTAATCTTCTTGGTGGTTTTGTTGGCCATCTATTCTTACGAAACCTGTTTCAAGAATAAAAAAAAATTCTTAGAAGTCAGAAATACTCCAAATGTAGGTCTAGAAAAAAACGGCAAACATAGTGACTTATGTTTCTTTTTTTCTCCGGTAAAGTAATGGAAACTTAAAAGCGGGTTGGGGCAGATTTAATTTTTTAGAGTGCGTATACTGGTCAAAATAAATAGTTTCTGAATTAATTTTTTCGTTCGTGTGGTGGGTGGGAGGGAGGGGATGTAAGAAGCTCTGATAGTCTTATATAGTCTTATATAGATCCAAACCGAAATGGAATATGAGGAATATTTGAATTACTTTATCATTGCTTTGAAAAATATATTTAACACCTTTCTAGAGTAGATTTCACATTTACATTTTTATTATTAAGAGCTGGCCCGCGGGGTATAAAGAGTTGTTTTTTTCCTTCCTTTTTAGTACTTCATAGTTCGTGAATTCAACACTACCGTCCCTTCCATCCCCTCCCTCCCTCGCCACTATGAAAGCAGCCGTCCGTGACGACAGTTTACGGACAATGAAAGGATGAAGTAGAACTTCTTACTTCTCTTTAGATTCAAATCGTTAAATAGCTAAATCTTCTGCCCCTAATAGCCGTTACTAATTCGACGCGGCCCTACGCTTGTAAACATTCGGGGCGAACATTTGTTCACTAGACTCGTGGGGGGGGGGGGGGGGGGGGGGGGGTTATAGCTATATGCCTAAAGAGCGCGGGAGCAACGGCGTGCGTTTAAGTGGTGTCTCGCATGGTCCCCATGAAGAGAATTATATATATATATATATATATATATATATATATATATATATATATATATATATATATATATATATATATATATATATATGTATATATATATATATATATATATATATACAGAGAGAGAGAGAGAGAGAGAGATGTTTACTTTTTTGACGTTTATGTTCATTAAACGTTAAGTAACCTTTTAAACTAATACTGTCGTGTATTAACAGCTTAGGATTGAAGATAAAATTACATTTGCTCTTGACAGTTCGCAAGTGGTAATGCACCCACAACATATAAGTCGAAATATGATTTTATTGCTTTAATTTGAAAATATATTATAATTTAAACATAATGTCAAGTGGTTGATCAGAAACCCTCTGATATTTGAAAATTATAGTTATTATAAAACCACTTAGTTGATTCTCCATTTTGTAATGTAATGGAAGATGAATTAACGAAGTAGTTTGAGAGCTACAGTAGTATTTCATAACATTTCTTACTTTATAAGTTTCCCTTCTACATCATTTGCACCGTTGTAAGCTTTTAAAATTTTCACCAGCTGAGCGTTTGTCTTCAGTGGAAACTCTTGTCCAGTGAGGTTGATAAAGTACTTCCATTTTGTATATCTCCACAGCTGTTTCATGCAGATCAGTTCCGGTTCCAGTACACTGAATTCTCCCCACTGAACGTCCACTCGTTCAGCCGTTAAGAAAACATTAGTGAAACATTGCGCTATTGCAGATACGGCGAGGAAAACTTCTTTGTCTGCTTTAGCTTCTACGTGAATACAGTAATAGTTCTGTGGTCTATAAATAGCACGGAGTAATCTCTCAACCATTTCTACGTGCTTGAAAACTAAAATAGAAAACGCAATGGGGAATTCTTCTTCTTCCTGCGTCATTGAGCAAGTGACGTAACCTCGAGAGACCTTAAACATGTCACAATTTTCAGTTAAATTCAAATAAAAGGTATTTGATAAAAGGTGTCGTTGTGTTGATTTAGCTAGACTGATTCCTTTTTTTACGCTATATTTGTTACCAGAAAATATTGCCATGCAATTTACTTCATATACTAAAAACTTTTTAGCTAACATTTCTATTGAATCTTTGCTACACTTGTCTCCAACACAGCATCCTGAATAATTTATATTTGTGGTCGTCAATACGTTACTCTGACTTGTTTCGACGTATGTTTTTCCATTGTTGTTAGAAATCGTTTGCACAGAATTGAAATGTTTACACTCACGCTGAACACATTGTGTTGCCTTTTTAAAAATTTCACTTTCAAAAAACATACTGGAATGTAAACAAACCGACGTTTTTACGGTATCGTCTCTTTTTGAGAAAGACATCGGTCGAATACTGATGTCTGTTTTTTGTACAAAAAATATTATCGTTATCATTGCAACGATGCCAATGAAAACAATAACAGATGGGCAACGTTTCAATGATTTCTGATATACTTTGCTTTTAGATGCGCGCACTGCCATGTTGAAATTTACCTGAGAATAGAGTTTTTTAAACAAAAATCAACATAGACATTCATACCAAAAAAACTCATATTTCTTCAAATTATAATTTTTACACACAAATAACAAAAATGATTATTATTACTTAAAAAATCGATTTCATATAATGTTTGTAAATAAGGCAAAAACTAGAATAAATGTTAACATTCTCCTAAAGTGCTCTAACGACTAAGAAATACACACGAATATAAAATATAAATAAATAAATAAATAAATAAATAAATAAATAAATAAATAAATAAATAAATAAATAAATATATATATATATATATATATATATATATATATATATATATATATATATATATATATATATATTTATATATTTATATATGTTACGGTCAAAGCCCGAAGTCGGCCAATGATAGGATTGGCCGGCCAATCCGCGCATTGGCCAATATCGCCTCCCTTAGGTCGGCCAAAGTCTGAAATAGCTCTTGATTTCGGCCATGGTGGACCGGCCAAAGTCTTAATTAGAAGATCATCTGGCTAGGGACGACCGGCCAAAGTCCGAATTATAAGATCATGAGCAGATGTTGGTTTTTGTTTATGCCGTAAAGATGCGATGGTTCGTAGTGATTTTTCCTCAGTGCCAACTGACGACAATAAGAGCAGTTTTTCGTGAAGAATTGAAAACTCACTTCTAGCATACAGTTGTTTTAGAACACCATGTTCCATTCCTAATTTGTAGAAACCGCCCTCGACGCTCATGACAACTACAATCACGCTTCGGGGATCACCGTGACTTCTGTCAACATCTTGAAAACGGATGCGTACATTGTCACCCACTTCACTATCTTTAAATTTTGTATTTGATGTTTTAAGCATCTTAGCACCTTGAGTTTGCAAGCCAGTATGAGCTGCTGATCTGTGTTCCATGATGTCTTGTTTGTTGTGACACAATCTGCAGGTAATGTTCCCTCCGTACCCTTCGTCTGCTTCATTGGGTATTCCACAAATAGCATGGACATTGTTGCCACAGGATCCAAAAGAATGAGCTGCACTACAATGTTTTTCACAAATTATATAGAATCTGTTGGCCACATTATTGTCACGCAACTGGTCTGGACGTTCCGCCACGGCAGTAGATGTGTTAGCTGAGGATGTCGTTACATTTTTGGCAACCTACAATTCTTGTTCAATGTTCTCAAGATATTCCTCAGTAACAATTTTGTCGAGAGCCTATATATAGAAACTAACATGGATTTACATTTTTTTTCTTTTGACAGCCATCTGCTATGTCTGTCTCATGGTCTGACGGCCCTTTTGATCCATGTCGCCTTGTATATAGAATGCTATACAAACAAGAGCTAAACAATACGTTACTCTCAATGAAAACGCACCCAGAATAATGAAAATGCGATCACAACTTAATCTAGATAGAACATTGGCCAGGACATCCCGTCCAGTGCGCGCATTGGCCGGCCAATGTACAAAATACGCTGTCAAGTTTTAAGCGCTTCGGACTTTGGCCAGTACGTCCCGGCCAGTGTGCGCATTGGCCGGCCAATGTACGAAATACGATCTTAGTGCTAAGTTCTTCGGACTTTGGCCAAGAGAGCCGGCCAATGCGCGGAATGGCCGGCCAATCCGCGCTTTGGCCGCACTTCGGGCTTTGACCGTAACATATATATATAAATAAATAAATAAATAAATAAATAAATAAATAAATAAATAAATAAATAAATAAATAAATAAATAAATAAATAAATATATATATATATATATATATATATATATATATATATATATATATATATATATATATATATATATATATATATATATATATTGAAAAAAACGGGTATTTTTTATTTATGGTAAACTTACCGTGTAGATTGAGGTTAGAAAATCCTATGTGCTAGCTAGTTAAGTAAATTAAAACGAGTTTATTAATTGTCTAGTCTAGTAGACGCACTATGATGTTTAAATTTGTTTCACTTGGGTTTTCTAGAGACGTTAAACATGTTATTTAAGTTATAACGTTAATCTGAACGATAATGTCTAGCATTGTGTGACTCTATGTTATAAATGACATGTTCCAGCGTGTCCTCTGCAGAACACATGTAACTTAAACACAGTAAACGTATGTGTATGGCTGGTGGTTATCTTTAAAGTCAAGCGTTAAATAGTCTCCTGTTTGAAGTTACAGATGTTGCAACGATTCACGTTTGATGCCAATGTTGAGAAGTTTAAAAACATTTTTTTTTTGTACTACGCGACAAGAGAATTGAAGTTTGTGTTGGATGATATATTATATAATTAGTTAAATTATACCTCTTTTATAAAGAAGCATTTAGCGAAATAAATGAAAATCAATCAAATTAATTTACTTCTTCTGTAAAAAAATTACATAACACATTTTGCATTTATTGTCATGAAAGGTTTATTTTGTTTTATTCTTACTAATAAAAAGTTCGTGCTTCACACACACACACACACACACACACACACACACACACACACACACATATATATATATATATATATATATATATATATATATATATATATATATATATATATATGTATATATATATATATTACATATACACCATAATTTACTGAAAACAACAAGCTGATAAAGCGATTGGTTTCTTATCCGTTCTACCTTCATTTAGTTGCAAATCTTTTAAAAACTACATTATCTGCACCAAATAACCTTCACTGTATAGCCTGTAGTACGATGATAAACATTCTCGTGAATCACAGCTCACCATTTCTATAAGCAACGAGTATTTCGCCAAGGCATAAGCAAATCAATAATGTGTTGTTTAACCACATACCACAATAAAAAAAATCAACTAAATGGTTATACACAAGAAGCTTTCTTTGTAGTTCACTTTAGTTTTATATCGCTGTTGAAGGAAACCATTTAGCCGTGATATTTTTTATTTACAATTAATCGGTTAAGCAACAATGTTTGTTTATCAGTTGCTGGCAACAATTCATATTAAATTGGCGTTAGTTAACGGTAGGGGGATGAGGATGGGGGTAGGAGGGGGGGGGGGGGGGAGGACACTTGTAAAATTATCTTTTTTTCCATATACATTTTATTTCATTCCAAAACTTTATATTGCTCGTTCTTTGACTACACACAAATAAACAAAGAAAAAAACTTGAATAACAGAAACAATTTTTTCAAAATGTATACTAATTTATTTTCAAATAGGTGCGAGACTTAATAATAATTGTCACGTTTAACGCTCAACTTTTACCTAAACAAAGTAGGGAACAGGGTCTCACACACCCCCGCCCCCGGACATTAACCCCCGGAGAAATTACTCCCTGCCAATTATCCCCCTCACCACCCAGTAGGACATTAGCCCCAACACAGGGCTGGGGTAGGGTTAGTGATAGGTTTAGGGATAGGGATAGGTTAAGGGTTAGGGTTAGCGTTAGGGTTAGGGTTAGTTGGTGTTAGGGTTAGTGTTAAGGTTAGGTTTATGTTTATGTTTCTGTTTTGGTTTAGGTTATGTTAGGATTATGATTATGATTGGGGTTAGTTATTAGGTTTAGTGTTAAGACTATGTCTAGGGCTAAGGTTAGGGTTAGGGTTAGTTTCATAGTCAGGGTTAGGGGTAGGGCTATTGCTAATGGCTAGGGTTCGGGTTAGTGTTAGGGCTACGGTTTGAGTTAGGTTTTAAAAACAATGTCTAGTATTAATTTTGGTTGTGTGTTAAGTTTTAGGCTGATGTGAATGAATAGGTTTTGCTCTGTTTCTGATGTTCAGGATTAAGGTAATATATAAGTATAGAATTTGAGTTTGAGTTAGGATTTTAACTTGAGGGGGGGGGGGGGGGTAATCGTCAGGGGGTAATTGACATGGGGTAATTGCTGCGGGGGATAAAAAAAGGCGTGAGGGAATGACCGAGGGTAAAGGGGGAGGGTAATTGACGGGGGGGGGGGGGTAATGTCCTTTAGCCCAACATTTGATATAATTGCGTTAAACGTAATGTTACCCGTTCTTTGATTTCACACAAATTTAAACGAAAATGCTATAATAAAATTACTTTAAAATGTATTCTAAACTCTTTTCAAAATAGGTATGAACATCAAATAATGTCTAATAACTGATTTTTTTATCCATACCTGATGTAAATTAAACAACTACGTCACATAAAAACAGTGAGGTGCATTAGTATGTTTGGTCCGAATTTTATTGCATAAGAGTTCATTGGTTTAAGTAGAGTGTTGCAAAGTTATTATATTTTAATATACTATTCAATAGTTAATTAACGGTTTTATTTTAAACAAAGCAATAGTGAGAAAACCTATGGTCAAAGCACCTGTGGTCAAAGGTCCGAACACCAATGTTACGTAACGTGGTATAAGTGGCTTAAAACGAATCTTGACTTTACTTCCCTCCTGTTAGGATTAGGGTTCATTTTACCAGAATCATTACCCCACGCTCAATTTACCACCCCCCCTCCGCCCCCACCCGTTAAATATCCCACATTACCCTGAACCAAATAACTGCAGTAGAAAAACGGTAACGGTTATGACAACGATAGAGATGACTTGGACGTTAACGGCAACAACAACGATAAATTAAACGAAATGGGTAGCGGATTTATGATGTAATAAAAGTATTGATATTTGTGAAGATAAAGGATTAGCATATGGATTCATTTAGAAAAAGGATTAGGGTTTTTGAAATGGCGATAGGGGAAGTAAGGGAAAGGTAATGGTTTAATATATATATTGTGTAGTGGGGTAATTACACAAGATGATAATTTAGAGGAGATAATTGATCTGGGACTAAT